CAACAAGAGCTAAACTCATCTCAAAAAAAAAAAATAAGAACAGTCTTTAGATGAATGGTCTCTTAGCTTCCACGTTAAGAAACTAGAAGAGAGTAAATGAAGCTCAAAGTAAGCAAAAGGTATAAAATAATAAAGATCAGAGTGGACATCAGTTTGAGATAGAAAGAAAAAACAATGGAGAAAACCACAAAACCAAAACTGGATTTATTGACAATGAGGTAGGAAGTGGGACTCAACCCAGAAGGTGGGACTTGACTTCCAAGCGGGGACTCAGACACTGGACCAAATTGAGGACTAGCTAAAACGGGCCAGGCAACACCCAGATATTACACCTTCCATGGCAAAGACCCAGTGAACCAGAGGTTACCAATTCTATTTCTAGAAATTTCTGCATAATCTGCCTTCATTTGCATATGATTAAAGTGGATAGAAATATGACTGGGGAAGTGCCTCTCTCTGAGCTGCACTCTGAAACCATCTTTGCACAATTATGACTGGAGACACTGAAAGAGATCTCACTTAATTGACTCCATCTTGTTTAACCTCCAAGCTGTCTCCAGTGACATTCCTAGGTGCAGGCTGAACTAACCTTGGGAGAAACTTAGTTTATTATAGTTTAAAACAAAGGCGATAATAATTTTCCCAAAGCAGACTGCCTTCTTTGCCTAGGGAACTAGGTTGACTTTGTAGGACTAACATTAGCCACAAGATTAGAAATTATGGTTTAGAAGTCATGCAGCTGGAGGCTACAAGATTCTGACCCTCCCTAAACTGCTCCCAAGATCAGTGCTTGAGATATTTTGCAGAGCCTGCACTGATGGCTCAGCTGGCACCACCAGATGGATAAACTGGGTTTATCTGATCTTGTGACCACTTCCAGGAACGGACTTGGTGCAAGAAGACAGCTTTGATTTTCTATGATTTCATCTCTGACCAATCAGCACTCCTGGTTCACTGGCCTCCCCCAACCCACCAAGTTGTCCCTAAAAACTCTGCTCCCTGAATGCAAGAATGCTAAGGGAGAGACTGATTTGAGTAATAATAAAACTCTGGTCTCCCACACAGCCAGCTCTGCATGAACACACTTTCTCTATTGCAATTCCTCAGTCTTGAATCAGCTTTGTCTAGGCAGCGGGCAAGGTGAGTCCTTTGGGTGGTTAAGCAATCTGGGCACACTGCCTATGGGGTAGCCCTGCTCCACTAGGAGCAGTCCGTCTGCTGCTGCCGTATGCTGCCACTTCAAAAAAATTGCCTGTACACCACCAGCTTGCCCTTGAATTATTTCCTGAAAAAGCCACGAATCCTCACTGGCAAAGCCCTGATTTTGAGGCCTGCCCCTACATCAAGACCGATAAACTGAAAGCCAAAACCTCTAACCAGACTGACAGGAGAAAAGAGAGACACACATTACCAATATTAAGAATGAATGGGGTAATGTCACTAAAGACTCTAACATATTAGAAGGAAAATAAGGAGCTATTTTGAACACTTTATAATAACAAATGGGGAAAACAAATGCACAAATTTCTTTGAGAGATACGAACACCAAAGCCTGGCCCAAAAGAAATAACCTGAATATCCCTATTGAATTTTGTAATTCTAAAACCCTTCCACAAAGAAAATTCCAGCCACAGATGGCTTCACTGGTGAATCCAGCAAACATACAAAAGAAATCATACAATTCTAAGCAGAAACTCATCCAGAAAACTGAAGAAAGGGAAACCCTCCCAACTCATTCCATTTCCAGACCAGCATTACTGTGATACCAAAACTTGGCAAAGATATTCTAAGAAAACTACAAAACAATATCTCTCTTCAACAAAGATGCAGAAATTCTAAGCAAAATTCTCAGTTCAAAACCAATGATATTTAAACGATTAAACCATCCTAATGAAATGAGGTTTATCCCAGGAATGCATGGTTAGTCTAACATTCAAAAATCAATCCAAGTAACTTACCATGTAGATAGACTAAAAAAGAAAAATCATAATAATATCAGTAGATTCAGAAAAGATTGACAAAAATCTAGCATCTATTCTGGAAAAAGTCTCAGCAAACTAGGACTAGAGAAAACTTCCTTTATTTCATAAAGGGAACCAATAAGAGAAACCTGTGGCTAACACTATACTTAATGGTAAGGAGACTAAATGCTCTCCCCAAGATCAGGGAATAAACAGGTGTGCTTTCATCACTTCTATTTAATATTTACTGGTGATTCTAGCCAGTGTGATAAGGCAAGAAAAGTATCCAGATTGAAAAGAAGTAAAAATTGTTTTTATTCACAGATAATATAATTAATATAAAAATTGGATGGAATCTACACAAAGGCTATTAGGACAAATAAGTTAATTTGGGAAGATTTCAGGATAGAAAATCAATATGTAAAAATCAATTGCATTTCTATTCACTAGCAAAGAATAGCCGTAGTTGAAATTTAAAAAAATCATAGCATCAAAAAGTGAAATATTTAGGAATAAATCTGGACAAAAAGATGTGCAAGAACTGTACACTGAAATCTAACAAAAATGTTGCTGACAGAAATTTTAAAAGACTTAAGTAACTGAAGAGAGATACCATGTTCATGGGTGAAAAATTCAATATTGTTGATAAAACGGTTCTCTCTCAATTGATCTATGGATCCAGTATAATCTCAATCACAATCTTCTTTTCAGGGCATGTACAGTGGTTCAAATGTGTGATCCCAGCACTTTGGGAGGCCAAGATGGGTGATTGCTTGAGACTAACCTGGGCAACATGGCAAACCCATTTTTGTCTCTATAAAAATATAAAAAATTAGCTGGGCATAGTAAGTACATGCCTGTAGTCCCACCCCACTCGGGAGGCTGAGGTGGGAAGAATTGCTTGAGCTCAGAGGTTGAGGTTGAAGTGAGCCATGATCGCATCACTGCACTCCAGCCTGGTCAACAAAGGAAGACCCTGTCTCAAAAAATAAAAATCTTCTTTTGGGGTGATGAAAAAATTCTGGAATTAGATAGTGGTGATAGTTGCACAGTCTTGTAAATACACCAAAAGCCACTAACTTGTGCACTTTAGTGGATTTATGTTATGTCAATTACACCTCAACTTAACAAAGGGGGGGAACACAGTCTAATTTATCAGTTAATAGAAGAAAAAATTATGATCATTTAATAGATGAAATTGATATAAACAAATTTTGTTTGATTAAAAACTGCTAGCAAACAGAAAGAAATACCTTAGTTAAAGGGTAGCTAGCTATAAAAACCCTATAGTCAAGATAAACATCATAAAAATAGTGAAATGTTATGATACTAAGTTTTTACTTGTGAATCAGGACTGAGACAGGATATTCAGAATCCCCACTTCAATTTGAGACATAATGGATATACTAACCAGAGAAATAAAACAAGAAAAAGAAATGAAAGCGTAAGGGATTAAAAAAACAAAGAAAGAAACGGCCATTATTCAGCTGTGGTGGACTGATTGTGTATGCAGACAATCCCAAAAGTCTTTACAGATTAAATTTTAAAATGAATAAGCAGGTTTAAAACTTACTGGATATGTGAACAGTTTGCAAAAAGCAATTGTTTTTTTTTTTTTTTTTTTTTTTTTGAGATAGAGTCTCTGTCTCCCAGGCTGGAGTGCAGATGGACATAGGCCTACTACAACCTCCGCCTCCCCGGGTTCAAGCAATTCTCCTGCCTCAGCCTCCCAAGTAGCTGGGATTACAGGTGCCCACCACCACACTGGGCTATTTTTTTTATTTTTAGTAGAGACAGGGTTTCACCATGTTGGCCAGGCTGGTCTCGAATCTCCTGACTTAAGTGATCTATCCTTTCGGGCATCACAGTGCTGGTGCACACAGGTGAGCCCCAGCTCCAGCCAAAATCAATTGCATTAATAAAACTACAGTAATATCATTACATGTCCATCAAGCAACAGCTAAAAATGGAAAAGAAAGTATCCAGTATTGGCAAGCATGTGGATGGAGCTCCGAGAACCTCACATTGCTGGTGGGAGTGTAAATGGATGCAATCACTTGAGAAATCGGGCAAATATCTACTAAACTGAGCACGCCCATGCTGCACCCAGCAATTCCACCCTCAGTAGTTACCCAACAGAAATGTATATGTGTTCACTGAAATACATATATACAAATGTTCAAGTGATGGCACTATTCAAAATAGTCCTAAACTGGACACAGTCTCAAATGCAACTGTAGAAAGGACAAATAAGTTCTGGTGTATTCAAATAATGGAAAAGTACAAAAATGAAAATGAACAAACCACACAAAAAAACCAATGAATTTGGTGCAACATAACCATGAGTGAAGGAAATCCAGGCATAAGAGCATTGGAATCACTATGTGATCCAACTGATGTAAACCCAAAAACAGATGAAACTAATGGGGTGTTGTTAGAAGTCAAGGAAAAGTAACTCTGGGGACAATGGCGGAGTTGGTGGCCAGGAGGGGACATGAGGGGGCTTATGCTGGTCCTGGCGCATACGTGTGTTCAGTGTGTGATAATTCAATGACATGTACATTTAGGATCGTGACCTCCTCTGTATCCTCTTATAGGTGCTACCAGTACCATATACATAAGTTAAAAATACATTGTGGAAGATAGTAATTGTACAAAGGACTTTCTAAGCCCGGCCAATGTTCTATTTCTTGATCTGGGTGTAGGAAACCAAGGTGTGTCTAATTTGTGGGAATTTCGTTGAACTGTATGTATGCGTGGGATGAGTGTACTTTTCTGCATGTAGGTTACACTTCAAAATAGAGGTTTTTAAAAATGCAAACAATCCACATTTTAGAAGGATACACAAATCAGGAGCGACACAATCGTATCAGAATGGTTACTCATGGGCAAGGGAGTGGGTCATGGAGACTCAGCTATGGAGAAGGTTCAAAGCCCTCATGGCCTGGTGTCCTGCCTCCCCAAGGTCTGGCTGCCATCGCTCTCATTCCTGTCACCTGCATTGTGCTCATGGCATGCCCACCTCAGCCTCCCAGGCACCTTGCAGCAGTCTCCAGCAATCCTGCATATTGATCCAGTTCTTGTGGTTCCAGAGGCTTTCGATGCCTGGTGGAAGTGCCTGGCCCTGGTGCTGTAGCTATGTCCTGTGAACAAGGCCAATGAAGAAGTTCTCAGGCACCGCGTCCCCCGAGAGCACAAGGACTCAGAGTGCACCCGCAGGGCCATGCAGGGCATCCGGCTTTTGCCTTCTCCGCTCCTGCTAAGGAAAAGGTGGGTGACTATGAGTCAGATGGCTGAAGAGGAGGTCAGGGGCCCAGACATCTCCCTGGGGCTGGGCCTGATGCAGACGGCACCATCAACTGGAGGTGACGGCTCATTCTCATCTCCCCATCACCTAACTGCTGAGCCTCCATTTGTAAAATCAAACAATGGGAGAGTCTGACTAGACCTGTGGTTTACAAATTGGACTCTCAGTACTGCATCTGGGGGTTACCGCTTTATATGTCGTGACTTTGGGTGAGGTTTGCATCCATAAGAGTTAAATGGGGAGACTAAGCAGCTTCCTTATCTGCCTCTGAGAGAACTGTGACTGTTCATTGTTATGTATAAATAGGTCTGGACCAGAAGAGAAGCTCAAGGAATACTCTGGAAGGAAGGAAAGAAGAGAGGGGGAAAGAGGATTGGAGGAAGGATAGGGAGTGTAAAGTTGAAAGAAGAGATGGGAGATGGGGTGGAAGGATGACTGTTATGATGATGGATAGGAGGATGGATGGATGGGAGGACGGATGGATAGGAAGATGGATGGATGGGAGGATGGATGGATGGATGATGGATGGATGGATGGATGGGTAGATGGATGGATGATGGGTGGATGGATGGATGGATGGGTGGATGGATGGGTGGATGGGAAGATGATATTGATGGAGGATGGATGGGTGGGAGGATGGATGAGTGGGAGGATGGGTGGATGGGAGGATGGGTGGATGGGAGGATGGGTGGATGGGAGGATGGATGAATGGATGGATGGGTGAGAGGATGGATGGATGGGAGGATGGATGGGAGGAGAAATGGGAGGATGGATGAATGGGAGGATGGATGGATAGAAGGATGGATGGGAGGATGGATGGGAGGATGGGTGGATGGGAGGATGGATAGATGCGAGGATGAATGGATGGGAGGATGGATAAATGGGAGGATGGGTGAGAG